CTAGGCCTGATACCAAATGACCCTGAAAGGGGTAAAATGCTGGTATCGCACTACCTTGTATAGATCAGATACGCAGCGGAATGCATTGCCTAGGTGGGGTTTGGTGCATTTCTCGCAAAGACCACTGCGCTGTGACGTTGACAGACTGCCAAGTTTCAGTTGCCCGAATGAAAGTCCTTCTTTTTTTCTTGTTTTCGTTAGGCATTCTCTGGCCTGTTCTTGCCGCTGTCGTTGTAGTGAACACTATCACTGCAATCGTGTCACGCGAAATACTCGAACAGTTTGTAACGCGACCTTTGTTCCTTACGAGTAACTGGGTTGATGTCCTCAGGATACGGTATGTCCCTCATCGGTGGGAACGGTGATACAGTTTCTTTTTGGGAATTAGTGATTGGTTGACATGAGTCTGTACGTGACATCTCGAACCATTCATGTGGGGCTAAATACGGCCAACGAAGAACCGGTATACTGTGACGTGTTCGTATTTCGTCGCCAACACCACGTGGTCTTGCTGGCGTTGAAACGTCGCGAAGCACGACGACGGGGCGGAGCCGCCACTGGCCGGCCATAAAGCAAACGCTCCACTCGCTCCGATCACAAACCGAACTGGCTGCCTTCCCTTAGCACTTAACGACCTTCATAACATACAATTACTTGCCGCTGTGATCACTTGTTGCTAGGTAATTCTGCTTAAATACTAGCTTCTTTCAGAATACTTATGCATCCCGAAAATGCTCCCACAGTGCCCAATCAACTCACGAAGGCTAAGATCATCTCAAAGCTTCATCAACACGAGCAAATTCTTCGTGAACAGGTAAGGAAAATCAACTGACACTTACCCAATTTCTTGGAATTATTCCGAAAATTTCTTTCTTCTAGAAAAGGAGCCGTCGAGGAAAAATGGAATGGACCCCTTTACCGCAGTCCATTCACGCTGCCAACACAATCAATCCTATTAGGAGAATCGCTGACGCAGTATCGGTAGCACCGAATCCTGATAAGGCACCAATAAAAATGCATCTAGGCGATCCTAGCCTAACTGGACGACTTCCGCCTTGTCCAGTGGCCATTGAAGCTGTTCAAGAGTCCCTGAACTCTCAAAAGTTCGTTTCCCTCCAAAAACTTCAATTTGACTCGCTCCTCATCTCCCACTAGTTATTAATGGGTTCTTTTTAGGCACAATGGATATGGTCCTGCCGTAGGAGAACTGGCTGCACGTGAGGCAGTTGCTCGACGGTACACCACCAATGGGGCTCCTATAACGGCTGACGACGTGATTCTTGCTAGCGGATGCTCTCATGCTATACAAATGGCTATCGAGGGCCTGGCAAATCCTGGAGACAACATTCTGATACCCCATCCCGGATTTCCGCTATATTCCACGCTCTGCAAGCCACATGGAATCGAGGTTGGTTTGAACGGGCTGGCGAGGGCAACTGTGCCAAGAGGCGCGGGCGCTGGAAAGGCTCCTTGTGCACAATCATGACCGTGCTGAAACTACCTTTAGGCGGCCTATTCTGGAAGCCCTTATCCTGGCTCGGGCGAATTCCCTATTTTCGAACAAGTTCGTCCATCCACTCTGAAGCCCTTACACTCTATGACCCAGTCAATTTGCCTTATGTTCATTACAGTAACCTCAAATGTGCACAAGGAACCCTTTCAGTGCTCGCTGCCAAGCCTGTACCGCTGGCGCCATTTCCATCTTCCGGCTACAGTAGTTTATCGTTTCAGGACCGCGCCTACAGACTAGACATGAAGAACGGAGGGTTGATTGATTTGGAACATCTCGAGTCGTTGATTGATGAACGTACGCGTGCTCTGATTGTCAACAATCCAGGCAACCCAACCGGTGTCGTCTTCCCCAAAGAGCACTTGGAGGACATCTTGGCGGTATGTTTTCGATCCATTGTGATAATTCAGTCTGATAAGCGGATCATTTAATGTGTCATCGCTTTTAGTTGGCGTATCGCTACCACCTCGTGATCATCGCTGATGAAATCTATGGAGATCTCACCTACGACGGTGCAACGTTTCACCCACTTGCGACGCTCTCCCCTAAGGTTGGTCGGTCGGTACACTTATCATAATAGGCACGTTCCACACCACCGTAGCTCCTTATCAGTCCAGGATGCGTCAGCATGACACTACCGACAATTTGTCATTGAAAGGCGTGATAAGGCGTCAGGAACTGATGAACTTAGAAATGTGACCATAGTGGGTGGCATAACAGAATTGATTTGTTTCAGGTACCAATCATAACATGCGACGGCATCGCGAAACGTTGGATGGTACCCGGATGGCGACTGGGATGGCTCATTGTTCACGACCGCCATCGTGTACTGAGTGAAGTTCGAAAAGGACTGGTCGCCTTGTCACAAAAGATCGTTGGCCCGTGCGCTCTGATCCAAGGAGCTTTACCAAAGATCTTGGCCGAAACGCCAGAGACGTACTTCGAGTACAATCGTCAAGTGATCTCTAAGAACGCTAATATTGCCGGCAAACTGCTGAAAGGTCTGGAAGGAGTGCATTGCCTTCAACCTCAAGGAGCCATGTACATGATGATCAGTATCGACAGATCTTTGTACGGAGACGATCTGAAATTCGCATCGGATTTAATCCAGGTGGGCAATTTTATCAGTTCATTCAAGGTACATCATGGCTGTTCAGCCCACAACACAGGAAAGTCGTATTTGGTCGCTCGGAAGAGGGGGCGGACCCACCGCTCAATGGGTACTAGGGTGTGGATGACCGTATTCCGGAAGGTTATCCTCATTCCCAGAAGATTTTTTCATTCCAGCTTAATTAATGGATATGTCAGATATGCATCTCAACGTTCTGATCAAGGAGATGTTTCATCGGATATGTGTAGAAGCATTGTCTTTGTGGACCTCAGGCCAGCACTATCTGCTGGCGGAATGGGGGGGCCATGGAGTAAGAGGTGAGAGAAACCTGAAATAACTATTGCGATAACACAAAACTCGACCCACCGCCCGAGGAAGGATGTGCCGGAAACGGAGCCAGTCAACAACGGAAAAGAAAGCCTTTCTCTGGCGTCCAGATAAGACCTCCCACGTGCATTCCAAAACATGACATCACCCCACGAGCCTCAAATTTGATTTGGAGGCAGCCTTTCAAGTAGCAAGCAAGTCATAGGAGGCTATTAATATCAAATTCTGTATTGCGGCAGTATTTCATATAACTCTTCTTTTATCACTTGGAACAAATCTAGACCGTTCACAGCCAGTAGAAAGATTAGAAGTCACTGGGTCAAGTAAGACTCCATGGTGCCACGTAGCCGCTGCCAAATCGCAACTTTCTGGTCAAGTCGATACCATGGGTGCCACCGTTAGCGCTGCAATTACCGCAATCTTGTCATTGGGAATATATTTCGCGTGAATACAGCTAGACCTCTTGGATTTTTGACTTTCTGATTCTCTCTCCCTCTTCCACGACCAAATACCAACTCTCGAAGTGGATCCCAAACAATATGAATTCCCTGGCCACTAGACGGGAGTTAAACGGCTAAAATCAACAAATTGTATCGTTCAGGAGGAATCCGTGTACTGCCTGCCTGGATCAGCGTTTTCAGCGCCTGGCTGGATTCGACTGGTTATCATCCACTCGGAAGAAGTGACCGAAGATGCTATGCGCCGAATTCGAGAGTTCTGCGAGCGACGGCTCGCGCAGGAGTTTCCAGAAAGCGAAGAATTATCGTCTGATATTTGAAGGCTGCGATATATTTGGTGAATCTATTAAGCATTTGAGCATTATGCTAGTGTATTCCTTCACATTATCATACCTTTTCTAGAGGACAATTTTATACCTTATGCAAATATTTATATGTCAATCCCTTCTGTGATCAACGGTGTGTCGCCGGAGTTGCACTTTGTGGTGACTCACACAAATCCGTAGATTTCTTAGCTGGCTAGCCTGGCATCGTGCAGCACAACCGCGATCTAATCAATTAGATCCTGGTGTGAATGCAGCGCACGCAGCGCTGTTTGCACGCCTCATTATCGTGGAACTCCTGCAACACGCTGAATTATGATTTCTTTTGCAATATTCTCTTCCCCTCCAGGTGGACACGTGGGAGCTTTGTCCAATTTGTACATAAGATGTAATGTATCCGGTTGTTTGAAAGTGATTTCTGATAGCATCGCTCTGACATGCTCAAGCAATTATGGGTTATGAATTCCTATTGACTGATAATGATTGATAAAAATGTTTGTTCACTTGTTCATTCGTTCGTTACGCTACCTGAGACATGGTGCAATGGATCGTGTGGTGTACGATACTCCCACTTTTGCACAAAAAATGGTTTGGAGTCGCGAAATGTCACGAGCATCGTTTGCGTCGTGCCATGAACGTTTTATGTTGGAAAGTGTTCAGTAGTGGAAGATGCACGAAGATGCACCCCATATTCCAAAAGGTGGAGGGCGTCACTATGTACCCCATCTCATCGATTTTGGTGAGATATTTTCGTTTTAGGGCAACTGTAATCATGTTTTCGTCTAGCACGGAACAGGATGACAGTGATCTTTGAGGCACACCCCATCCAAGAATGATTTAATTTAATTTAATTTATGATGGGTTTCTGCAGCTCAATACAATGAAATAATGGTAAATAACAAAAAAATAGAGAAAGAAAAGCAGAAAGCCTTCCCCGATACGCCCCATATGCTCCTCCCCCCACCCAGGCAGAACCGAGCTTTTACGTGAACAATGCGAGAGGGGGCCCAGTAAGAGTTTTCACTTGTTGGTGCCAGCTTTTTCTTCTTATCACCTCCCTCTCACCACTATGAAAGGAGAGAGTTGGTAGCGGAACAACCGCACCATTAGGTAGCAGAAACATGAGAGTTGGGCGTT